CGCCTAAGGGCGGATGCAGAGCGTCATCAGCACGAACGAGATGCTGAGCAGCGTCTACTAAGACATGCGGAAGATTCACAACGTCATCGCGATGCACGCGAGGTTGAAAGTCACACCGAAACTGCTGAGCGTCGTCTAGCTGACGCACAGCGCCAGCAAAGACGTCGTGTGGGCGGAAACTCTGAAGAGCGTGCTAGGCGTCTTACTCAGGATATGCAACGTCAGCACAGGAATCTTGAGGTAGAAAGTGAGGAAAGTCGACTAGCGCGTCATCTCCAAAACTCCGTACGTCAACAGAGGCGTCGTCAGAACGAAAGCACAGAAGATCGTGCAGAACGTCTCCTAGAAAATGCTGAGCGTCAACATAGACATCGCCAGAACGAAAGCACAGAAGATCGTGCAGAACGTCTTTTACAGAATGCTGAGCGTCAACATAGACGACGACAAGGTGAAAATGCCGAAGACCGTGCTCAGCGCCTTTTGGAGCAGAATCGGCGTTGGCAAAATCTGCTGCAAAACGAAACGGGTGAAGAAAGAGATGAACGCCGAAGAAGGCATGCGATGAGGCAGAGACAGCACCGAGCTCGGCTAAACGAAGAAGAAGGAGCAGAATATACGCAAGAACAACCCGAACGTCAGCATGATCAAGATCAACATGAAGAGCAGAGAGTATCGAACGTAACGACAAATAGAAATCGTCAAGGTCGCAGCACTGCCCGTACCCTTGGAATAGCACTCAAGGAACGCGTGGCAATCGTTAGCTATCTGGGAGAGCTTGATTGTTGTTGCTCAAACTGTGGTGCGTTACATTTCCGCTTCGAGGTCAAGCAACAGCATGCTGATACGTTCGCTGATTGTTGCGATTATGGACGCTTTTTTCTGGAGTTCTTCGATAATTTTCCTACTGCGATAAAAGAGCTCTCTCTGGAAACATCATCATTGCTAGAACGACGAGAAGGCCGTAATAACTTCTTTTGTAACATCAGAAACTTCAACTCGGCTTTGACAA